TTAAAAATAAACATATTCTATGTAAATATTACTCTGTCTAAAGGCAATAAACTTCACACAGGAGAGATCTAGTCACTAAGGCTTGGGGCACTGCTTCATCCCAAGAAAGTAGAGAAGCCTGCATATTAGCGGAGCCCCTCAAATCTGCAGCAGAATTTCCCAAGGTAACTCCCAGCAGCTGAAACTCCCATAAATGTCTATTACAAGCACACTCCTGGGGTAGGCTTGGAAACGACAACATTAACATGAGGACTTCCCAGCACGGTGCTGTGACCAGAAGCATCAAACAAGAATGAGTACAGAAACCAAGGAAGTTACAATGCACCACTTTTTAAAGCAGTAAACCCATCAAAGCCCGGGATGCTGGTTACTTCACCACAGCACACACATGCAAAGAATGACATTTTCTTCCCATTCTCTGCTGCTCAAAATTACCTATCAGCACTGAGGTGTCTATCCAAAGAGCCATGTTTATTCTGCAGTTGCATATGATGGCAACAGCTGTCTCCACAGGTGGGTTAAGAAGCGTCAGTGTTAACCTGATCAGCACACATTAATATCCAGTACAAGAAATGATCAAAGAAATAAGAGTTTCTTTCTTTCAAAAGCAAATAGCCCATTTTCAGAACTAATCTAATGAAAGAGAAAAGCCATGAGACTCTTAATAACTAGAGGCTGACAGTTCAAGGTTTTAAGACTTAGAGAGAGTATAACCTAAAATGTCACTACAGCCTCATCTGCCCTCACCTTCATCCTAGCTGATATACACCTAGGCACTGCAGGCTTGCAAGCAATGTGTTAGTGCTTAAGAATAATGTTATATAAACCAGTTCAGCTTCACTCTTTATTAAGTCCCCACCAACCTACAAATGCTTCTGCAAGCTTTCCACTTGGTTGCCACATAAAATTTTCTTTATTTCTGTTCTTATCTGTGCTGATTATCAGCATAGCTGCATATAAACTTAGAGTATGCACACTGGGATGGAAGTTAATAAACTGACACTACAGCTTTGCAATTGATGATACAAGCATTTCTATGGAGGCAGAGGGAGATGCTAGTAGTCATTACTATGGTGTCACTCTGAAAATCAGGATCAAATACTACAACTCGTTTCCTACAGATAGAAACACTGAGAATTTAAGAAATATTAGAAGTTGAAGCAATAAAAGCCACTCAAGTCTTTTTTAAAAGTGAAAGAATAAAGTCTATCCTAGGATAGATTTGGGGTATGTACTGATAAGTAAAATCCAACTATCTGAATGTCAACAGGTAAAGGAGACAAAATCACCTGAAAAAAGGGTGGGTTTGTTTTGATTTTTTACCCTAAAGTTTTGCCAATTACGAAAGAGGAGACTTTTTTCTTCTATTAACAGAAGATTACTGATCAAATTCTGAGTTCTGCCTAACATACTGTTGCAAATGTAGGTTAGAAAGGAGCTTAGGTTAAACAAAGGAAGTATCTTCTTTTCTTAAATAAGTGGTATTTTTTCCACTGCATGCCATACCTCCAAAAAATGTTAAATTTGAATTTCTCTTTATTATAATTTCATTGTTGAATTTTAAATATGGGTTCATACCTTCAATGCCACAGGTAAAGAATGCATTTTTTGCTGTTAGCAAGAGATCTGTGATAGGAACATACTGTTTATTTAGAACGTAAGTGGTTGAAATCACTGAGAACTTTCTCAGTCGTGAGTTTGATGAACCACAAAAGGAAACACTTCGACCAGTTTCTTACAAACCTAAAATAAATGCTAACCAGTTCATTTTCCATTTCAACCTTTCCAGTGGTGAATTACAAGCATACTTTCCAACCTGTGAGATATACCTCACAGTAAGTTATTGGTTTCTGTGGTGCCCTGAGACAAAGCAAATGAAACTACAAAGAATGTGAGCTAAATATTACTAAGTAGAAACAATTCTTAATTGACTGAAATGAGCCATGCACGAAAAAAAGCTAACCAGCAGGCATTAATACACATCCATGTACAGTGAGACAAGTCTATGAAACAAAAATATATGAAATCATGGCAGACACACACATCTTAGAACAGTACTAACCTTGTTGCTCACTCTCTCCTTCTGCTTTTGCAGGACCTGGTGCTACTGGAAGAGGTCGAGGAGGACGAGGCTTTGGAGTTGGGGGAGATATTTTTTTTCTTCCAATGTACTCTACATAAGTTCCTGGGAAATCTCCCCTCTCCCCTGTGGTTTCATTAAAGCCATTTAACCAACCGATTTCCTCAGGTTTTGCTTCTTCCCCTTCACTAAATCCAAGTGCTAGTAAGGTACCTTTATTCACAGTTAATATATCTCCCAAGTGCAAGTCAATGTCTTCTTCTCGCTCTTTTCTGTAGTCATATAAAGCTCTATATTGATATCCCTCAGCACTCATCTTGGCAAATGATTTAACATTCAAAAGTGTTATTAAAAGGTATCAAAATGTGATTTTCCAGTTATATTTTAATGTACAGAGAAATTCAAGACTTATTAAATGGGATAATGAAAATGTCTCTTAAGTAATAAAATCCACCAGAGAATCAAGAAGCACCAAGATTTATCATTTCACTGTTGATGTATTTACTGATGTATTTATTCTGAGTGACTGTTGCTGAAGTAAGGGCTCCACTTTTTCTATGCGTGGCAATTTTCTTCCAATTAGCTCCTTTCCTGGGCTTGCTGGCACTTCTGTGTCTCCATGCACAAGCTCAGCCGACTCTTGTAGACAGTCACACCTTCTTCAGAAGTATTTGCCACAGACTGCCCACGTACCTTAAAAATTCTGCCACCAAACTCTGCATACATGCTTTTCCTGGAAAGAGAAGAGAAAACTGATGAAACCACTTCAGATTGTCTTGATGAATGTGAACTTGGTATTCTGCTTATGACTTAAACTTACTGCAACCCTGGCAAAGACTGTGTCATACAAAAGAGTCCTATGTAACAATAAAATAAAGTAACCTCACAAAAAAACCTCCAGGTAATGTTTGCATTTTTATAAAGGATGTATGTCAAAGTACTCGAACCAGATTTGCACCCCTGCAGTATGAGGCATCTTTCCTTCTCTGTCACTTACAGCTACTGAAGTCTCAGGGTGAGAGGGCTAAGCCCTGTAGCGATCCCTGGCAGTGCAATATCTAACCTCTTTGCAAGATTTTATATATTATCTCCCTGAACACAGACAGCCACAGCCCTTTTCCACAAATGGTCTGCCAGGACAGTGGAGGAGCTCATAGTAATTAGCCCTGACCACTGGGGTATTCAATCTCATCCTGTTTATGACAAGGGTAAGGATGGGCAACAATTCCCATCCCAAAGAATATATTTAAAAATCCTTTGGAAGAAGGGGTCTTTTCATAATCTGCAAAAGGACTGAAAAGTCCAAAATGCTTTTACTTAATGACTACCATATTACCTTTTTTTTTTTTTTTTCAAAATGAGGGGGCTCCCCACTCCCCCATCTTCCAGATGATTTTTAATGATTTTATGGTATAATACTAGAAAAACAATCAGCAACTTAAACAGGCACACCCAGACCACCTAAGCAGCCCAAACAGGAGTATGCTTAAATTACACTAAAGGCAAGAGAACACAGGCCTGAACATTTGGCTCAAGGTTGCCCAACCATAAGGTAAAACAAAAACATATTACTAAAACCCAAATCTATTTGGCAAACAATTGCTTTAAGACATATAGAACAGTGAAAGCTTTCTAAACGTTATTTCAACTGTTACTCATTTTTATCTACTTAAAAAGACAAGCCCAATCATACTTTGAAACATTATACTGGAAACCAGAAAGAGCTAACTCTTCAAAGTTGCACAGAAACTCCTAAACTACATCTGAATAAAATACCAAGGGAGCTGTGTAATACTGGCAGGTAAAATACTGACTTTGTACTATGTACTGAGTGTACAGAAAGCTGGGGTTTTTTTTATGAAACACTCCCTTTTACCTTGTAAAGAGACACTAGTAGACAGGGCTGGAAGAGGGAACATCTGACAGCTCTTTTCCACACCACTTTTTCTGTCTCAGTCATCAAGTCCTTTGCAACGACTAACTGACAAGCTAAGAAGTGTTTATAAGAATGCATATGGGCTTCCTTTGCCAGTAAATGAACCTGATCCCTAATTTGTATGTGGCTCCTCTTCAGTTCATCAGGTCCCTGTAGCATGTTGCTCAACATCTCTTGTGACAGAATACAGAAAAAGAATCTTGTTAAATTCTTGAAGAACTTCCTTATCATCCCTTGCAACCAGTTTTTGCTGTAGGAAAGAATTATATGAGCCTGAATTAGACTTCCCATTTCAGAAAGCCTGCACACAAGTATTTATTTTAATAACTTGCAAATCTATCCATGTGCATTAGGCATCCAGCTCCCGTCAAAATTTTAATTAGAAATTTCTGCAGCCACTTCTGAAAAACCAACTATGCTACTTAGCTCATGCTACCAAACATCACAGACTTTGCAATTAACATGAATGGAGGTTCACTAATATTTTGTTTTCCTCTTCTACCAGAGAAAAGCCTGCTGACAAGAACTGAGGAAACAGCACGAATGTCAATGTATCCATTAAATAGCAGATAAGCCTTTATAAAAGCATGGGTTTCTTCCATTTCATGTAGCAAGGCAACAAAATGCACTTACACACTTCAGATCTAAGTGCTGGAACAAATAAAAATGTTTCCAATCAAAACCAACCATGTACACAGCAAAACCTGCTAGAAAATTACCACTTTGACTACTTTAAATATTCTGAAATATTTATTTTCTTTTTAAGAAAGGTTCAACAAATGCTATGCTACAACTACTTATTTAACTCCTAGTGCCTATGGGCATTTTGGCAGTCAATGAAGTCTTTTAAACACTGCATAATTTAACTGACTTGACTTACTCCTCTGATCTTTTATTATCAAATGTATCACAGCAACTTTATGGCCATATATTTAAAATGAGTACTTGTGTTTTTTATGCATCGTCTGAAAATACAGAACTGTAAATGCTTTAATAACATAAAAACTGCTTATGACACTTTTAAGGCATATTTCAAAAACTCAAAACATGCATCTGATTAGAAGAAGTCAGTGCAGTTATGGTAGCAAAGTTTCCTCAAATCCAGTTTCCCCGGGGCTCAGAGTTGGAGTACCTGTTCATACTCACTCATCAGCACTGCCCTCGGTACAGGGCTCCCAGCATCTGACCTCCTGACTGATCTATGGTTCCTGTACCTGGAGACACTCCCAGGGTTGCATTTCTTGAGTTTATCCCTTTTTCTATTGTTATTAGGTTGAGAGACAAACTAAGACTCAGACTGGCAGACTCAAGAATCTTGCACGCAAACCTAGCGAAGGGCCAAACAATGGTTTTCCACACTAGCTCAGTAACACTGTAGCACATGCAAAGAGCCCTCTTAAAAAGCTCTACGAAGATCTGGTATAAACAAATTCCCTTTACTCCAAGTTACGCGGCCTCTATAGTCAGACTCAAACTGACTTAAGCTGACTAGTCCTACAAGAAATAGCTTGGAGACCATCTTAAGTAGATTATAAAAAACCAAACCAAACACTTCAGGGAAGAAACATTGTTATATTTGAGATGATGTATTACTGGATTTCCATTTTGGCTGTTGGAATGGAAAAGGGGGAAGAAGTATTGTAAAATAATCAAGTGCTCATTTGTTTTTTATTTACTGTTCCCACTTGTTCCCACTGAAAGATTCCTGAGTTCAGACAGAATTCTTGTCTCTCAGCAGAATTATCTTGGGCATTTTAATAGTTATAAAATCTAAAATTCAAAAGAAACATGCAAGACACTCCTACAAATTTATGTGGAAAAGGAAGGTGACATGAAAACTTCCTCTCCACTCTCCCCTTCTTCCCCTGTTAGAAATGATGTCTGGCTTCCTCTCCACTGGTACCCAAGCATTTCCTCCCACACAAGCTAGTGTTCTTCTGGTGACTGAGTATATGAACTTCTACTCTGCATAACCATGTTAGTACCAGCCCAACCAGAGGGGTGTGCATGTGTTACTGATATGGCATTCCTACAAGACAGAACATAAAAACTTTCTTCACCTTTATATTAACATATTTAATAACTATATCTCCAGGTAAGTTATATCTCTTATATACCTCTTAGGGTAAGCGGGGAACTTTGCTTGGAGACTGACTCTTCTCCCCACTAGGTGTCTACACACCTGTGACTCACATTGCAGTTATCTCTGAAGTACGATGCTGCCACTCTCCAAATGGAGACAACCAAGTTAAGTAGCACATCGGAACACTATTTTCTGCAAGAAAGTGAGGTCCGTGATGTATCATGAAGTAATACCCTTACACCACTTCCAGTCTTTGAAATAATTATTTTGAGTCTGTGGAGATTCTACCGCCGCTCAAGTTCAAACATGTACAGACGGAATAAGTACTGTGGACACTGTAAAGCACATCCCACTCTGAAATATCTCACAGTTTCTAAGGGCTGCAAAACTATGAAAGACGGCAGGTGACCATCAAGACCACTCTAGCAGAATCAATAAAATAATAAAGATAATTTTAAAAAACTAAGAAAACGGCAGAATTTGAGCTTCCACCGCGTTTAAGAGGCCGGCAGGTTAACCACTCCGGAGACCTGCACTAACATGCAGCTCCAGCCGCAGAGCAGCCGTTCGCCCTGGGCCGAAGCTCGAGGGGAGCAGCCCCTCCAAAGGCGGAACGGGACTGCGCCGAGCCGGAGGAGACGGGAGCACGGGCGGGCAGGACGCCGCTCCCGGCCCGGGGATCTGCACGGACACAGCCCGGCGGGGACACCCGCCCGCCTCCCCACGCCGATCGCGGCGCCGGAGCTGCCCGCGGCGCAGCCCGGCACAGTAGGGCACGGAACAGCCCGGCACGGCACAGCCCGGCACAGCAGGGCACGGAACAGCCCAGCACGGCACGGCACGGCACGGAACAGCACATCGCACGCCCTGCCCGCCCAGGAAGAGCCGGGGTGGTCCGCCCCCGGGGCGAGAGGCTGCCCTGTCCCTGGGGCTCGGTCTCGGCCGCAGCGGGCGGCCCGCCCGAGTCTGCCGCGCCGGAGGGCTCAGCGGCGCCACAGCCCGCCGCGCACGAAAGAAAAAGTTACATGGGGCGGCGGCGGCACCGCCGCTCGGGCTGTCACTGGCCGAAGCCCGGGTCCGCAGAGGGGTAGCCCCGCACAGCCCATCCCCACCCCCAACCCCGCTACGCTCCCCTGCCCCATCAGCCGCCTGCGGGGCAGCGCTCTCTTCGGCGGATGGAGCACGGCTCGCTTTACCTCAGCAGCGGCGGCGGCGGCACCGTCAGCTACTCCGTGCCCTCGCCGGGCAGCAGCAACAGCAGCTGCAGCAGCAGCCGCGCCACCCTGCTCTCAGCCGTGCGCCCGTCCCGTCCCGGCGCGGCGTGGCGTGGCGTGGCCCCAACCTCTCTGCCCCAGCCGCACTCCCCGCCGCAGTGCCTCCGCGGCGCCCTGCCCGCCGCCGGCTCTGCCCCCGCCCCGCCCCCGGCCGCTCCGCCCCCGGCCGCCCCGCCAACCCGCCCCGCCGCCCCGCCCCGCCTCGCCGCTGTCTGACGGCGGCTGCGGGCCTGACTGGGCTCGAGTCAGGCATCGGCTCACCGGGCTTGTTCGGCACAGCCCGACCCGCGGCGCCCGAGGCGCGGTGCGGCTCCCTCGGGCTCCCCGCGGCTCTCGCCTGGGGCGAGGGGGCTCCGGGGTCACCTCCCCCGGGCGCGACGCCCAGTGCTGCCGGCGAGGCTCGGGCGCCACCTCGACCCCGTAAGGCCGGTCCTGGCCGGGAAGTAGTAGCGAGAGGAACATGTGCTTCTGCCTAGTTCCTCGTTGGGGATTTTTCTCCTCTTTTGTCCTTCCCTGCCTCCCATATTGATGTAATGTATCACGCTGGTGGAGTGTGCCCAGAACGGAGCAGCCGCCGTGGGTGCCCGGCGGTGCGCAGGGCAGGGCTGTGCAGCGCCGCGGGGCGAGGGCAGCCTCGGCGGGCTGCCTGGAGATCTCCCCTCGGGACTGCCAGCCCGGGCTGCCCGGCAGCCAGAACCATCCATCGGGAGCCCCGTGCCCTTAAGCTTCAGCCTGGGTGGAGGTGGCAGCTGTCTGCAGCAACACCAGTTGATACTACTGATTACTAGTGCCCAAGTTTGCAAGGCTCCGTGCAAGGTGGAATGAATTGCATATTCCCTGCCCCAAGGAATACAGACCACCTCCAGTGGATCTGAAAACACGAGGGTGTGGCACAGCACCACGAGACTGCAATAAGATGGTCGTGCTGCAGAGGTAACTGCATTTGGACAGGTCTCTGTTTATCTTTATATAGTAAATATGAGTACATGTGTTACCATGATTCAGTCATTGTAGGTGTCACTGTGAAGAAGGAGAGAGCAGTCCCAGCAAGGATACAACACATCAGGCTGGCAAAGAATGAGTGTAAGGTCAGCTGTGCAAGAAGAAAGGTAAAGGTTCACAGAGACCTGTGTTGTAAATACAAGTTCCTGCTTAAAAGGAGCCAAACGAGAGATAACTTAGAACATCAAAAGGGTTTGCTGCAGAGTGCAAGGATTGGGCCTTGAAATACCTTGTGAGAAGCTGTAGGACTGGTGAAGTAAGGCAGTCTGAACTCTTATGATCAAAAGAAGAGTTCCCTGGGCAAGAAGGAAGAGTCCAACTTGTTTTAATTTGGCATATGGACATTCTGAAACAGTGAATTAGCTTATGGTCTGACCATAAACAACAGAGAGAAAAAGTGGACCATTTTTACTACAACAAAGTGTAGTTAGTTTTTGCCAAATGCAATAGATCAGTAAGCATGGTTTTCAAATCCTTAGACTTTTGGAGATATTTCTCTGCAAAAATGTTCTGAAACAAGAATTTTGATTGTACCGAGTATAGGGGAAAGGTGGGAATTTGTTATTAGTCAAATAACATTTAAAAGATGCTCTTCACTGGCCTGTTATGCTTTGCAGAGGATTTTGTTTCTCCATTGTTTTCCTTACTTTCCAAGCTTCAAGAGTCAC